TGAGGAACCATCTTTACCACACAGTCCTCACCCTTCTCTGAGCAGCTCTAACAGAAGTCGACAGCTGTAGGAAGTAAACGCAATCAAGTATGTCTCAGAACGCCAGATTCTTTCAGCAGTGGTTTAGTTTGGCGTATTTGTGTAAATGCAATTTCAAATAATCACTGTAGGCAAGGCACAATGCAGGAATACGCAGTGGGTTGTTTGGATTCCTCATTTCTTTTGGGTGAAACAAAACTGGTGCATATCTGAAATTCGACCGCATTCAGATCAGGAATACACTTTTTAAGATATATTACTCATTTGTTCTGGCTGGCCGAGAAATAATTGAAATTCCAAGTAGATTATATAAAACTGCATCCTACAGCTCATGAGGATGGATCAGGGAGGGAGTATAAAGTCGTACAAGGTTGTGCATCTAATGAGGAAGGGCGAGAGATACAACACTAAAATTAAAGCTACATTTAAGCCATTTCCATCAGAATGAAATTTCGTCCGAGTGGACTTCGCAGAGCAGTTTCGGATTAGTGGACTTTCAAGCAGCTCAATTAAGGCACTGGGTTTCTTGCACAGTGGCAGCTGTGTAGTTCAGGATTTTCCATCTCCAGAGCAGATGGGTTGCCATATTAATCATGAAGCTGATGATCACTATCGACTAAGGGGCCTGATCTGTGAAACTGATCATAAAACAACACCACCATCATCATTCTGCCATCTGTTCCCACAGACTGGTGGCAGTGCCAGCCTGCGCAACTCTAAACCTTATCCGATGCCGTCATCAGACATCATACAGACTTACTCACAAAACAATCGCCTGATTTAGTGACATTTATCGTGAACTGCATCCCGATTAAATATCAATATTGTTGTGGTACCAAATCAACACTACACCGCTTTCTTGGAATACAAAATGAGAAAAATCAAAATAATGTGCAATTTCAATGCATGGGGAACAGAGCTTTCAAGCTTAAAAAGGATGCAAAGGCACAGTAAAGGCATCATGAAAATCAGTCCATTTGTCTCGTGCAGTATATTCCAAGTTACCTGATGGGAACAGACCAAAACATATGTTGTGTTTACTGATCCTTTTTCACTTGAACATTGAACCGGTTTGTATAATTTGAGAACCAGATCAGTCTAAATGGCAAAAGAATAATTCAGACTGGTCTTGCGAAAAAAACAATTTGTTCAAAAATTTGATCTTTGCTACTCATTTCATAAACAGGGCATGGAGGTTTTTTGAGATTTTTAAGTGAATTCCAACTAACATTTCAGTATGTTATTCACATGAAGGTATCAAATGACTTTGGAAGACTTCAAATATAGTGCAAGAGAAATAAGGACCCTTTTTTGGTCATTCTGGAACTTGACAGCCCCATTCATTTATTATACTAAAAAGAGTGGCCAGGATATTCAGTGCAAGCCCATGCAACTCTAAATCTTAACCGATGCCATCATCATGCAGACTTACTCACAAAACAGATGCTTAATTTAGTGACATTCATTGCTAATTGCATCCCGAATCCCGATTAAAGATCAATGCTATTGTGGTACCAAATCAACACAGCACCACAGTGGATGCATTTCATGTTGGCAGCAGACGCAGACAAAAAGCCTTGAGACTCATTACCATGGAGGCATTGGTCGTGCAACGGGCACCAAAACGAAGCCAGAGACACAATGAGAGGTGACGGCTCGAGTAACAAAGCTGTCGGGAACAAAAGAGGCGGCAGGTCTTCACCCCAGCATCAGCCAGTGGAGAGCTCCAGCTGACGCCCTTTAAACAAGAGGTCACACAGCAGAGAATAGAGGGCACAACCTCTGAGAGCCCCTGACTACCCCCTCACCTCCATCCCTCCAGGGAGGGGATGAGACAGCATCTCTTGTGGATTGTTAACCTATCAAGCCGCCCTTTTAAAATTCAGCCGGTCAGAGAATAGGCGTCCGAAAGTGGATTTCGGACAAGAAGTCAAAGAAGTCAAACCCCAGGCATCGGGGGTTGTTTGCCGGCCACCCTTATGTGGTACTGAGTGATGAGTGGCCTGACTGCGCTGGATGAATAAGTAGCACTTGCTGTGTTTGGGTGGAGAGGGGGTTGGGACAAGTGGATGGAATTGTTGGCAGTCTGGATGCAGAGCAAGGGGCAGCACGGCTGGTGGGACGCAGCGCGGGCCGCAACAGCGAGGTCAGCAGACAGATGGGAATGGAAATGAGTAGACCGTGCACTCATTTTAATCTTTTCCCCACAGCTGATACAGGCATTACAAATGCAAAATCACATGCACATGGCGACCTCCATCCCCCAGGCGTGCGCATTTATTATGGTCGTGGCCATCTTGGGTCGGACACTCAGTTGATTAGTTTGGTCTCAGGTTGGGAATCATCTGTAATTTGATAAAGTGAGGGAGCAGAACAAAGGGGAGTTTGATATCCCCCCCATTTAAAAGCTCCGCGGCCTCTCTGCATCCAGTTTATTACACAACACTATTCTCACTGGAGTCTTACTTCATTCCTGGCAGGACAATGCACATACACTTGAAATATGTGGTTTAAGGGAAAGTTGAAACTCCAAATAAAAAAAAACATGACAAAACCATTATCAATCCGTTCAAGATTGTTAGAAATGGAGTAAAACCACCAATTCAGTCGTGGATATAAAAGCAAAAACAGTTTCACAACTATTAAAAAGTTTCAGTTAAGTAAAGTAATATAACACTAAAATAATATAATAAAGATAATTATAGAAAATATTAAAATAATAAGTTATAATAAAATGCCTGAAAGGTTTTTAAATTAAATTAAAAATAATTCAATAGCATAACATTTGATGAAAACAAAAACAGTTTATTCAGTCTTAGATATAAATGCCAAAACAATTTCACAACTAAGCAGAAAAAGTGAAATATTAAATAAAATATTATGAAACAATATAATTTGTTTAAAAACATTAATTGTAAAAATATAATTAAAATTATTATTATTATTCAACATTTTTTTAAATATTTAAAGAGGATAAGATGGCAAATTGATAAGGTCATACTTTTACATAAATCCATAAAAATTGGTAAAAAAAAAAACAATTTACACCAATTTGGTGTGATGTTTTGCTGCTTATTTATTTGCAATGCATTTTTCAGTCTTTTATCAAACAACCATCTGTCCCGCTGAAGTACCAATGGCTGAACACGATTGGCCGGACTGTCTGAAAGGGGGGTGGGGGGGTTGTTGGTTGACTGGCTTTGGAGAGAGGTCACATGTCAAGGCCCTGGCGGACAGGGGCGACAGATTCTTAATGAGAACTCGCCACCCTCTCCCTGCGATCTACCCCATTATGTCAGCCAGCCTAGACTGGATTTTAAATATATTCAGCATTGATATATTTCAGATATTAAAAAATAAAGCAAACTCTGTGTAACCATGGTGACCAGCCTCTCATCAAAGTAATATTTGGAAGCAGCAATAAAAAGCAAGACACCATAAAGCAAATATTCTTAGCATGACTGAAAATTTACTTACAAAATAGGTTAATTACAAAAATAAAGGGAAAAGAAAAAAAATGTCTTAATTGAGCTGAGGTTAGGTGAAAAGCGCCAAGTGTTTTTTTTTTTAATACAGGCCGATACACAGCTCCCCACGGACCCAACCAGCTTGCTGCTAACTGGGACACCTCTGACAATGAACCATAGAAACCACACAAAATTCACCCTTCTGAATACATTATGGCTACTGTACTGTTAAAACAGACCATAGCATCATGGTGAAATGTGCTTATTGTACAATTGAAACAAGTATAGGACACCCATAAAAGGTCGAAACTAATCATCTAACAATAACTGCACAAAAAAAGCAGAGTTTATTTAGCCTAACCAGACGCAAGGCACAGCAAAGTGTAAACTAGCCACTCAGTGACAAATATCAGCCAACACTTTTCCCATAGAGAAGTGATCGTTAAATATACATGACGCTGCATTTCTGAAATGTGCCATGTCTCTCACATTTCCCACAGTAATGAAACTGCGTTTGCCACACCATGCATCCCAAGCCTGCAGAAGTGACACCATGGTAACACATACATATATGTGTGTAGACCCATTAGCACGATCACACTCAACAGCTGCTGCGTGGAAGGAGCAGCCAACCCGAGACTCCCGTGCTTTTGTCTGATCGCTGTCTCTCTGACCCTGGCATGGAGCCTGATCAGACAGTGGGAGACTCAAGGGCAGCGCTGACCCTACACCAACTGCTTTTTGGAGAGTGACCTCAACCCCAAACTGCCCCCCACCCAAAACATACACACAAAACAATGTCCTACACAGCACTCTCCTCCTCCTCCACTACTGGCTTCCCCAAGCCTCCCCATCTATCTCTGGCTCCCATAAAATACATAATTGGGGCTCCATTTGTCATATGCAGATGCCCCTGAGTGCATCCAGAGGCAAAAAATAAATGCGCAAGGGGGGTTGGTTGGGGGCAGGACACTGGCTGGCTGCACCTTCATTTCAACACGCTTAAAGATAGCAGTAGATTATGTTATTACATAATAATATATATATATATATATGTTGTGACGCTCAAAAACAACGGGCAACACTATGTAAAGTAACAGAGAAAAAATTACAGACTAAATAAATACTGAGAGAAATGTGTTTTACATGAAAACAGTTTTTGCTTGATTTGGCAGAATAAACTATTTTGGCACAGGCACTACCTCATATCCAATGTAAAATCTGGGTTTTGAAGCAAAGCTACACCTATAGGACAGTTTTCTGAGGTGGCACAAGGTGTAATAGGTGTTGTATGATTAGAGACAAAAAGAGAAAGGTCAATAGAAGTGTATGAGAATCAATAAAGTAAAATGCACACAACACATGAAATTATCACGTCACACACACCATTGATCATTTTTATTATCAATATTTGGGAGTGAACTATCTTGAGTAATACGGTCCAGATTTAGATTTATCGTAATATTTCCGTGCGTTTTTAAGAGTTAAGCTCACCTTGTAAGAGGTCTTGTGCTTGTTCCCCGGGTCAAATTTCCCCTTTAACTCATTGAGGAGCTGCTGCAGCGTGCTGCTCTCCTCTTTCTCACTATAGTCTTGATCCAAAAGAATATAAGCCCTCCAGTTGGACGAGTCGAAGCCCCAGTGACAGGTTCTGTTCTCCTGCCTTTTATGACTGTGCACCACGAACTTGTGCGTCGGGAACATGAGCCTGCAGTCCAAGCACTGTATGCACGCCGCGTTGGGGCTCGTGTAGAGCTCTGGCACGAACAGGCCCTTGCACTTACCGAAGCATTCGTGATAAACTTTAAAGCTCTTCTCCGTTCTTTCCAGCTCGATGGAGCACGACAACTCTTTGTCGGCGTGCGGTGGGAACGTGCCGCCATAGATGAGGGCATTGCAGAGGCGCTCGGCGTCGGTCTGGGTGATCAGTCCGCATGAGGGGGCCGAGAAGGGCAGGATGCCCATAACTTTGAGGATCTCCAGCTGGTCCGCCGTGCACCGGGAGCAGTAGATGTGGAGGTCGTCGCACACCGAGTTGATCTGCTGGAGGGAAAAGTCTCGCAGGACGCTGTTGAGGATCTGCGGCAGGCATAAGCGCTTCTCGCCGCCCACCACAAAGCACGAAATCGTCTCCCGCTCCAGGACCGTCTCGCACCTCTCGGTGGAGCGGTCTGACGGGATGAAGAGGGGCCCCGGCATGACCGGGGGCGTCTGCGCGGGGAGGTTCACCATCACCTCGGCGCCCTTACCGTCCTTCTTGAACAGCATGTCCTGCTGCCACCGGGCCGAGAAGGCTGCCGGTCCACCGAGGGAGCTCATGGAACTCAAGTGAAACTGCTTGAGAGTTTGCTGAAGTCCTGGATGCGGCTGAAAGCTGGAGGGAGCCTCCATGTTTAAACCCGGGCAGTCTGATCACAACAGATTCGGTGAACGTGAACGGAAAGAGTCGCTACAGTCCATGTCAGTTCGGAAAGCGTACAATGCCGCCTTGTAATCCATTCAACTGCTTCATGGTCAAATCTTAAGTCGTACCAGAAAGAACCAGAGTTCCGAGTGACGAGAAAATCCTCCCAAAAGTGTAAAGTTTTGAACAAAATGTAATTCTCAATCCGGCTGTATCACAGACCAGCTGCAACTCGAGAACAAAATGTGTGCCTTGCGTAAAGCTCGTCGGCGCAGTTGCCTCCGCTTTACTATGAGAGTCTCTCTCTCTCTCTCTCTCTCACACACACACACACACACACCCTCCCTCTCTCTCGCTCAGTGTTTGTTTGTGTCTGGTTCAGTCATTGAATCCCGGCCCGGAATGTGACTGACTCCCTGGGCTGGCTGTTCCATGAAAAGTTCTCCCTCCCCCTGCAGCCTGAGCAGCTGCAAAAGCGGGAACACAGACTACATGTAAAAGCATTGCAGCGGAGCAGCGGGAGGAGGAGTTCACTTACAGCGGCTTACAGTAACTTTCATTAACAAACTTTAAAGGTCATTAACATTACATAAACAGCAAGAGCAGTCGTTTATGTACATTTGAATTTGAAAATATATGAATCAAAGTATCGTGAAATTAATAGCTACGTTAACTAAATCTTGTACATTATTCCGCAAGTGTATAAACACGGACATGATTTGAAGTAGATTAGGCTAAAGTTCCCACTAAGAAAAACATTACAACGAATTAAACAATAGACCAACATAAGGTACACTACACTATTATTAAATGTCATTATTATTAGGACCAATGAGAATAAAACATTAGCCTACAGATTGCCGCATAATAGGCTACAACTAATAATAATGGTTTAAGCCAAAGTTATTTAAAGTGTTACGCAATTTTAAAAATATACAGCGAATAGAAATGTACAAATTAAATTCTGGCTACAGCCTACTTTTGAGGTCAGTGATTTCGCAAAGACACAGTAAAGGAATTTGTAAGCTAAAAAAAACAAAAAACAAATAAATGCTGTTTATTTAGATCTTTCTGTTCATCAACGAATCATGAAAAAAAAATGTATAACGGTTTCCACAAAAATATTAAGCAGCACAACTGTTTTAATCATCCATAATAAAAAATATAACAAGCAGCAAATCAGCATATTAGAGTGATTTCTGAAGGATCATGTGACACTAAAGACTGGAGTAATGGCGGCTGAAAATAGGCTATATTTGCCATCACAGGAGTAAATTACATTTCAAAATATATTAAAATAGTAATCTTTTATTTATAATAACATTCAGTGTGATATTGCTTCATTCTGATCATTTTTGGACAAAAATCAAGCTATGACAGACTTGACATTTTTATCTCAAATTGTCATTATGACCAATGTTCTAAAATGCAGTTTAGTGAAGCCATAACTCATATTGATTTGTTTGGATTGGGTGTTATTGTAACAGCTTAATTTGTTTTTCATGGAACTTTAAAAATGGCAAGCATTTGTCTAATGGTTCACTTTGGCACATAAGCCTATAAAGTGGGGTTGCTTGAAATTCAGCCCTTAGTTCAATCAACGTTTTATGAAACCCTAGTTCATGTAATAACTGATTGACTGTGTTAGGCTCTTGGGGGCAATCCATGAATGCAGTTTCATTCAGCTTCAAATACTTGTCACTATAGCCTACAGACCCCTAGGTTTCACTCCATACACAAGCAGACGTCTGAAATGACAGAGAAAACATAGTTGAGAGAAGCCTGGGAAAATAGGCTACATTTTCAACTGGGAAAAGATTAATGGGCCTAATTGTGTTCTGTTGTTTTAAAGGTACACTACACTATGACTTTCATCATTGACTCACCTTCATGTCGTACTTCGTAAGCTACCACATCCACTCTGCTAGACTAGTCACAAAGGCAATAGAGAAACATGATATTGAAAGACCTAAATGATTATTCAGTACAGTACGTCAAACAACAGCTGTTAAATGTTAGGCTGGAGAAGTGCGATCAAATTTGTCATCACTGACTGTAACTCAATGTTGTTTGTAGGATTCTGAGCCACTAGGTGTCACTACAAATCAGCAGCCATTATTTTTCAACTTGGGAAACCATAAAGATGAACAAAAACACAGATTTAAACAATTTTATTATGTCCCGCGAGCAATAAATAACGTACAGAGCTTTTCTGCTTTAAAATATTACCTGCATCACCTGTATCAATCCTTTTGTCAAAAGTAAATCTACAACAAATCTATCCCTTCTCCGAGATTTTACACCTTAATAAAATAAACTGAATTAAAAGGCAATTAAACTGAAGGCTATTTAGCTCACATACAAAATGACATCAACAGGACCATGTTCAGTTTGGTTAACAAGAATGTTAACAACATTTTAATCATTGAAAATGGTCAATCTGCAGCATGATGGCTTGTTTGTCCAGTCAAACTGCATGTGAAATAGTTAGCACATCTATACAATTCTCATTTGCACTTCAGAAATTAAGTGTTGAGTTGCCCAACAAACCAAAGTCCCCCAAGGTGCATTTTTGTTTGCTATCCAGACCCTTGTTTGTATATCACTTATTAGAATGTTATATTAATGCAGAATTTGTTCTAACATATCATTACACTAAATTTTCCTATGAGTTTTAAGAATACTTTATTTCATTCTGTTTCAATACTTTTTAATTTTGCACCCATAAAATGCAATGAGCAATACATAAAAAAAAAAAAAACAAAGTTAATTGCAAACAGAACAGTGACACATTGTTAACAAAAACACACTGAAATATTAATTACATTATTAATTGGATTAATTGGAGTGGCACTGAATATATTAGTTAAGTAAATTAGTGAGAATTAAGTCTTTAAATAATTTTGCATCCCTGCATTTTATGGCTGCAACAGCACACTATCTGGTTCAAATGTATTATATATTCAGAATAAAAAAATTGAGCTGAAAAATTGGACATTCAGATTTAGAATAAAATTAAAAAATGTCAGAATAACAAAAAAAAAAAAAAACAGTTTTTGAAAATGTTTTTATGAAAAATGTATTTTTAAAAACGGTAATTAGCATTTGGCAACAAAAGTTTGATGGATTCTACAGCTGTAAGTTATTCTTTAATAAGAATGTTTTCTTTTTCTTTGCAATGTACAATGTAGTTCTTTGGAAGTAAACTGTGAAGTAAATCTCTCGGACGCTCTCACAGTTTTTGAAAATGTTTTTATGAAAAATGTATTTTTAAAAACGGTAATTAGCATTTGGCAACAAAAGTTTGATGGATTCTACAGCTGTAAGTTATTCTTTAATAAGAATTAGTTTTCTTTTTCTTTGCAATGTACAATGTAGTTCTTTGGAAGTAAACTGTGAAGTAAATCTCTCGGACGCTCTCAAGAAGACGCGCTGTGGCATTTATATTCCTTACTCAAACTGTTTTAAATAAAAAATACGATACACTACTGTAATCCATTCTTCAAATATAAAAAAGTTTGTTAAAAAACATTCAAGTAGGCTTTAGTGTTTTGTCCAAGAACTGACAGCACACATAAACGTATCCTATTTCATAATTTGGCAGATTTTGAGACATTTTTTAGCTCTTACTAAAACTTTCCGCTTTTGCACAGATGAGTCATCATTTTTCAAACAACCCACAGATGCAAACACTCAACAAAATCCAGTGATCGAAATCATTACACTGCTTCTGTGGGTAGTTGAGGGGGCTTGTCCTCATACTGTGGTGGTGGGGTCAGTGGTTCGATGGTCACAACCACACTCTGTCCAGGATTTTGGATATTCAAACGAATATCCTTCATGTGGAGCTTCTCTGACTTAATCCTGCGCACTCTGAAAGGTCTGAGGATGCGACTGGCCCTGCTGCTGCTGCGGACGGGTGCTGCAGGCTGAGGTTCGGGGCCAGGAGCTGCCTGAGGGGCCTCTTGGCCATTACCTTCTCTAGGCTGCTGGCCTTCGTTTTCAACGGCACTAATCAGATCCTCATACGAGGGCAGCTGGTAACTCTGTCGCAAGTTGCTCTGCCGAACAGGGTACTTTCCGCTGGTGACCGCCTCCTCATAGGTGGGAACATCATAGTTGGGCGCTGGTTCATCAGTTGACCTAATATTTACACAGAGAAATTAAGACACGAGTTGCATCCATCTAGATGGATCTGAACAAAACTAGGGATGCATGATATTATCATGATATATATATATATATTTTTACATTTATTTAAAGGGGGTCATATGATGTTGCTAAAAAGAACATTATTTTGTGTATTTGGTGTAATGAAATGTGTTTATGCGGTTTAAGGTTAAAAAAAAACACATTATTTTCCACATACTGTACATTATTGTTTCTCCTCTATGCCCCGCCTTTCTGAAACGCCTCGATTTTTACAAAGCCCATCGGTCTGAAAAGCGAGGTGTGCTCTGATTGGCCAGCTATCCAGTGCGTTGTGATTGGCCGAATACCTCAAGCGTGTGACGGAAATGTTACGTCCCTTACCATATTGTGATGCCTTGTCCCGGCCGGAGCGACGAGACAAAAACATTAAAACCCATTACAAACTAGGCATTTGTTGTATCCAGTGGGGACATAACTACGGATTATAATGACTTATACTCTTTTTACGCGTTGCATTGCATCGCGCCGCGTAAAACATAAAACCATGTCTGCATTTGTGATTGGAGAAATGACAAACTGCAAACGCTACTCTACACTGCTCAAAACTTGCGTTTGAATCGTCAGTGGCAAATTCTTTATGTATAAAAAACGTACTTACAGTCTGTGAGTCAGAACAGCCGGCTTTGTAGTCTACTCTCCCAGGATCAGGAAACAGTCCTCCATAAAATGCGCTG